AACCTTCCTTCCGAGGAGTGGCTGGTGGGTTTGAACCACCAGCCTTCTGGTTAGCGTTTAGCAGTCAAGTACCTTAGGCACTGGAACGTGAAACATGTTTGTATTATTATTACTGTATTATTTTCCACATAGATTAAGGATTATGGAGGGTGACTAAGCATGAGAAAACTCTGTTTTACCTATGCTTAGCCACCCTCCATAATATATAATTGTTCAGGTATTTGTGGGCTGGATATGCTTATGTGGGTATGTTTGGAAATCTAATTACTATTTATAACATGGGGAAATGTATTTAAAACAACTGTATTGAAACAGATTCTTAGGACACATTGCTCTAAGAATGGGGAACTGTTTCTATGTCCTCTCATTTCCACGTGGATGGAGGATTTACTTTTTCATCTCTCCAAGCACTAAATCACAGCTATGGTCCTCTTGACCAAAAACAAATTATATTCCTACAAGTAGCCAATCAGCCCTTTCAACATGATTATGGAGGCAGTGCCACCAAGCACACCAGAAACTCATGTTACAGAATGCTTTGCACTGTAGTGCAAATGCAGTGCTCTGTTCTTTTAACCTTTTATGCTATGGCTCATGGCAATATTAAAAACCACACAGGTGATTTTATTGTTCTACCAGGATCACTGCAAAGAAAATCATCGGCTCAGATTGCAGCAGGCTGAAGAAAGTATAAAATATTTTCATCAGCATCATAATATTCAGATGGTGAGTAGCTGAAGAAAAATGTCTTCTGTTTGCATCATGTGACACACTGGCCTGCACTCCTGGGAATTGGCATTCCCTAACCTGGGCCTGCAGCTGGCAGCCTTGCTCTTGGGCAACTGTGCAGTCAAGTCCTGGCACCTGAGGAGCAGGCAGGGGTGGGGTGGGTGTGATAATGTGGGGTTACAACTCCTTTCTTTGTCAAGACTTTTATCTTGAGAAATTTACAAGTCTATGTTTAAATACAGAAAAGAGACAAGATGAAAGAAGAGGAGCGAAAGAAAAAAGAATGGATAAACCAAGAACGCCAAAAAACACTCCAACGATTGAGAGCATTTAAAGAGGTAAGTTCTTGAAATAACCATCTCACCTGCATTTTCTGGGGAAATAAATGAAGATTACCTGACATAGAAGCAAAGTCTCAGATATTATGAATTTAGGACACAAAATTTTTCAAGAATGCCATTATTTGTGGTTTAGAAATCAAATATCTAACATATATATATATATATTAGTATATCATATGGGGGAGAGACTTCAAAGACTTAAAAGAATGAGGTTTTGATGTAACACATGTGAGTTCATGCTCTTCTGTCCTTATCAAGTAGTGTTCGCCATGGCCACCGTGGTTTAGACCAGCAGAGAAAACAGACAATAATTAAATTGTCCTCAACTCCAGCTGGCTTTTTTCCTCAATAAACAGTTCTTTAAACTGTCATTAAGGAAGCATTGTGACATAAGTAGAAAACCAAACTCATTGCCTTTGAGTTGATTCCAGCTCATAGCAACCCCCAATGGGTTTCCAAGGTTGTGAATCTTTACAGAAGCAGACTGCCTCAACTTTTTCCACAGAATGGCTTGGGGGTTTGAACCATGGACCTTTTGGTTAGCAGCCAAATACCTTAATCACTACATACCAGACCGTTAAAAGTGAATGGGGGAGAGAGTGAGTAGGTACATGATACTTGTTGAGCCCAAAGAAGCTGTTCTTAAATACCTGAAGGGCTGTCATGAGAGAAGGGGCTTTACTTGTTCTCAGGGAGACAGACTGCCTGACAGTATAAGGCAGAATATAACTGTCAAAGTCACAGCAACATGCAGCCAGGACACCAAGTGGGGGACCCTTTTGTTGTTGGGGGATACCCTGACATCAAGGGAAGATCAGACACTGGAGTTAAGGAGCCCTCCAGCCCAGGGGTACTGAGATTCTCTGTACTGGTTTGTTATTTATAAAGGGCTTTAAGATGGTAAAGGAGGTCTGATAGTATAGTGGTTAAGGCATTTGGCTGCTAACCAAAAGGTCCATGGTTCGAACCCACCAGCTGCTCAGCAGAGGAAAGATGAGGTGGTCTCCTTCCATGAAGATTTACAGTCTCAGAAACCCATTGGGGGTTACTATGTGTCGGAACTGACTCAATGGCAGTGAGTTTGGTTTGGGAAGATGGTAGCTGCATGACTAGTGTCTACTTCAGTGCTTGTCATTATTTGCTTTTTATTCTGAAAAGACTTAAAAGGATGTGGGGGAGAGAGAGATACTCTGAGTTTATCATGAACTGTACTTGTGTTTTTAAATTTGCATCAATAGTATATTTTATGTACCTTTTGCTAGTTTTTTCTTTCACTCAAATTATGTTTTTGAGGTATATTCACGTTAATATATGTAAATCTAGTTCATGTGATGGCTACATAGTATTGTATTGATGTGTTCTTTTGGCTAATCAGTGATGCCTTTAGGGGCTCTCCCCTTAGGATAAACTTTGTAAAGTTAGGTGTTTGTTTATTAAATTAATACTTGAGCAAAGAACTTCAAAAGTGTATGCTTTTAAATGCTATAGTTTACTCTTAAGTCTAAAAATTAAAGAAAATTCTAAAGTCTAAAAATTAAAGAAACACTCATAACTCTTATCACTCTTCACTTCGATGTCTACTGATATTTTTCAAAGATTTGCTTTTCATGTGGTTATAATTATAATGTATGTTATTTTGAATCCTGTTATTTTAATTGAACACTATATCATCTATTCAGGATGTTTCACAGATTCTGTACTATTTATGATTTTTGATGGCTGCTTAATAATTTGGAATAAATTTGCCACAGTTTTTCAACTAACTTCTTATCACTGGTATTTAGTTTGATTTTTCATACCAAACATAATGATGAATATGTTCATCCATATATATTTTATTACAGAGTAGATACTACTTGATCAAAGGATACAAATGCTTATTTTTTAGCATGTGAAAAATAGATTTAGTGGCAAGGGTGGCTGTACAAAGTGAGAAGGAGCCATTTTGTGACTTAGAACAGCCTGTGCATAGTTACTCTTATGTGTTCTTTTATTTAGACTTATTTATAGATAATTACTGCATTTTGATGGTTTGTATTTGTGCCAAGTTTCTCATGACAGTTTTTCATTTTCAGAAATGTCCAGGTCAGTCTGTAATAAAAACTTGCTCCGATGCTGTGACTCCAAACCTGTCAGGTGTACTTTCCCAGAAGACATCCTCACCAGCTTCGCAGACTGTGTCAGTAATTCATCCGTCATCTGGGAAAACCAGAACTACTTCCTTATCTAAAGTTAGTACTGTGAAAAGCCCTTCATGTCAAGACTGTCCTGGAAATATCCCTATCCAGATTTTTGTTCCAGTTGGTGACCACACACACTCCAAATCCAGTGAGGAATTGTCACCACCACCCCCACCTCCTCTGCCACCCCCACCTCCTCCACCCCCACCCCCACTTCCTCTCCCGCCACCTCTTCCTGCTCTGCCCTTTTCTTCTCAATCTGCAACTCATCGGAACCTACACTTCAGGACTTCAGTAAAAGATGATCAGCCACTTGCTCTGGTCTGTGAATCACTTCCTGAGCGACTTCATGGCTCCTCTGAAAGCTTTCAATGCCCAGGTAATCTGCTGGAATTCTCTCTCTTCTCTCCATGGGCTGTAAACTGTTAACGCATTCTAGATTTAAAAGCTGGTATCTTAAAATCAAGATCATTTTCAGAATTCTCTACAATCTTAACATACTACAGTATTTGCGCTTTACATATCACTAGTTTATTGCAAAGTTAGTGTGTTCTGAGTTTGATAAATGCTAACTCATCTTGAGAAAAAAATCTCTACACACTTAATCATTACGTAACTTGTTAAAGAGGCTGCAAAAGAATCAACTTATTTCAGGTTTCTTAAGACAGCAGTATGCATCTGATTCCTGTTACTTGAATATTTTTCAACACTGCTTTGAATTAAGCTTACTATTGCATCTCTGAATCATTTACAGAATTAAATTACTGCATTTTAAGCAGAATGTTGGTTAGGAATTATTGTGGAAGAATATTAACCAGAATGTAGAAGGCTGTTTGGCAAACTGACCAGTAGACTATTGGAAATCTTTCTAAAATGTAGTGGGTCAAAAGCCCTATCCAGAAAGTAGAAAAAAAAGGAGCAGGCTACTTTTTGCTTGGCAAGTATAATACACTGAATACAACTGAATAATCTTTTATTTAATAAAGGTTATAGTTCTGATTATAATTATGGCTTTAGATATTGACTATTTAGGAGATTGGCCTAAATCTGCCCAGACTCCAAGCTTACTGCTTTGGGATTTGTTTCTGTGTGTGCATGTGTGTTTTAGATAAATTCTAGCAGATGCTGTATACATTTATTTAATAAATACATTCAAGCACCTCCACCTGGAACATGCAAGGTTATTGTAATAGGTGATGTGAGTGATAGAAATAGAACAGTTCCAGGCTGTTCTGGTTACTTTGACTTCACGGTTTCACTGGACTTAGAACCAGGTACACATGAAAATGTCCACACTATTAAATGGAAGACCAAATGGTCTGTCTCTGTTACCCAGCAACACTGGGTAAATGAAAAGCAAATCTGTGCCTAGATCAGAATTTGGATGTAGGCAGATCTTTGGAGCCTTATTCCTTGCCTGAATTTCACGCACAGCAGTGTTCGGAAGCGCTGTTCAACTCACATGCACTTCCTCACTTCACTAAAAAGAATAAGAAAATGTGAATTAGCACCAAAACATGGCCTTGATTGTGAAACTTAGTCTGGTGACATCCAGAGGGAATTCTAATAGCAAGTTATAGGCTTAAAGCCAAAGTGAAATAGTATTTTCTTAGCCATAGCATGGTTTTTAAATCCTGAACTAGAAATGACTTAATCATTTACCTTACCTAGAAGATTTCTCAGTTAGTGGCCGTAGTCATGCCCCTGTCTCCAGCAGGTGATAAAGATTTTTACCTGCTCAGTGATCTCAAAGTGGTAGAAAAGTGAAAAATAGCTTCTTCTCACCAAGGCCTTGAAACTCTGATCTCATTTGTGTTTTGACAGCATTTCACACCCTCAACACTAGAACATGTAAGTCACCTTAGGGTGATGTAGGTGGAATGAAACCCGCTAGATGCAGAAGTATGTGCCAGTGCCGCCCCCTCCCTGGCTCATTGAGCTACTGATTAAAGTTTTACTGTAAGCCTTTTCATGTGTGGAAACCTACTCACTTCGTTGTCATAGAACGAGTTCTCACCCACTAACATCCAAGACTGAACTTAAAGAGATCCATTAGGGTGATTTTTTTTTTTTTTTTTAAGATTTTTATAAAGGAAATGAAGGCAATACACTTTCAAAGGCACCAAAGTCATGTGCATTGGATCAGATTATTGACATCCCAGACATCCATAACTCTTCAGAATCACACAAAAAGAATGGATCTGTGTTGAAAAACAATTATTTTAGCAAAAGGTTTGCATGGCTGTGCCTCTAAGCTGCTAGGGATTTGAAGAAGTTAGTGGAAAGTAAATGGCCAAGGAAAAATATTAGCTATTAAACTATCCTGGATTCAAACAGGGAGCTTATGGTTGATTTGTCTAACAGATAATCAAAGCATCTGTTTAATGGAATGATGATTAGTTGTTTAAATCATGACATTAACTGGTGTGTGACTTAACTTTAACTAAGATGACAATGTTCTGGCATCTGGGGGAGAGAGGGTCTGTCTTCTTGGTAGTACTTGCTCTCTTTACTTTGTTTTAGGATCTATGGATGAAGTGTTGGCCTCCTTAAGGAGCTGCAAAAGCCCTCTCCAGAAAGTAGAAGTACCTGCTTTGCCCTCTCCCCGCACCTCAGTCAATGAGCACATTCTGGCTGCCATAAGGCAAGGAGTCAAGCTAAAGAAAGTACGCCCAAACATCGGCCCGGGCCCCAGCAACAAACCAACCAGTGAGCTTGAGAGGAGCATTAAGGCAGCCCTCCAGAGAATCAAGAAAGTGTCTGCTGACTCCGAGGAGGAGGAGGACGGCATTGAGCAGAGCTCTGGTGAATGGGACCAGTAAGCTCTTCTCCAAGGACAAGGCATCTATCACAATGTGCTTGAATGAAGAGAGAGAGGCTCAAGGCCTTTTCTTGAAAAGCATGTGTACAGGGTTCTGTCAGGCCATATTAACACCCTGAGACATCAGCAGGGTTTTGTGTGATGTTGCAGCTTTTCTTTGATGCGGGGCTCTTAAAATCAGGGAAGGAAGTAGAGATGTGGTGACTTCCCATACCAAACCAGAGTTAGGATATAAGAGCCCAGAGTTTGTATTGCTGGCATAAGAGAAAAGTATTTTTCACCATGGATAATCTAGAATCATTCCCTGATTCTGAAAAAAAGTTTACATTATTATGGTAAACAGCATTATTAGACTACTGACAGTGTCCTGTGTGTTTGAAATAGTAGTTTCCTCAGTTAAAAGTTTGAATGTGAACATTATTTTAGCAATAATCAGAATGAATTGCTTATACTCAGAAATTTTAAATGTTTTAAATAAAATTTATTTTATGTATCAAGTACTATATAAACTTATAATAAAGAACTATTTATAATGAATGCATCAGTGTCATTCATGAGGCAATGAGAACATAGTATCTTAACTGATGTGATCAACTCATTATGGTTTCTAAAGCAAAACTCTCCCTGCCTGGGTAGGTTTAAAATTTTTAATAGTATTTCAGCTAAACATTTGTTTAAGCAAGTACTAAGAGTGGGGGAATAGTTGTTTCCATCAGGAACTGAAGTCTCATGCTGGAAATCTTTTCTCTTTGCTTCAGGTTAAAACAAGGAAAGGGGAAGAAAGCCAATACAAGGCAGTCTGTTCCTTTCTCTAATTGCTCGGTGTCCCCACAGACATCAAAACCTACACTCTTTGTCATGTCAATCCTGGGTTTCCATGGAACAAAATTAATCTATCCCCCCCCCTCCTTAAATTCCAAAGAATAGTCCAAAGAATAGACCAGAGGACTTCCTACTTCAATTTCTTTTTTTGGCTTTAACAAATTCTCTTACAAATTAGGAGGCTGTGAGTCGGGGCCTACTCGACGGCACATAACAACAACAAGAAGTCCAAGTTCAGAGTGCCAGTTCTAGGGGAAGATTTTCTCTCTGTGTGTCTCTTATTAAGAACCTTGGACCCAAAGGATATGCTCCACTCCTGGCTGCTCTTTCATGATGGTAGTAGGTCCCCCTTTTCTGCTAGCTTCTCTTTCTTTTTCTCTTGTAAGATAGAAAGGTCTTGGAGGCCACACACCAGGTGAAAGCTCATTGGATCAGGGCTGTGATGGGACTAAGAATGTTGCAAAACCCAAAAACCAGACCTAGTGCCATCGAGTCAATTCTGACCACAGTAAACCCCATTGGGTTTCCAAGGCTGTAAATCTTTACGAAAGTAGATTGCCTCATCGTCCTCCCATGGAGTGGCTGGTGGATTTGAACTGCTTACTTTGGGGTTAGCAACCAAATGCCTTTATTCACTACACCACCAGAGCTCCTTAAGGGTGTTGCAACCCATCCTTAATCTTAATCCTTTTACACCTGATCAGTTTATCACATCAGTGACATCATGGGGTATCACTATATTACATATCTGCCTACATATCATTACTTACATCTTACATTACATCCTTACTTCTAAACCATTGATAATCATGGCCCAGCCAAGTTGACACAAATATTGGGGGGCACAATTCAATCCATGATATTTTACCCTTTGGCCCCCCCAAATCCATGTCCTTGCCACAAGCCAAACACTTTGACCCCATCATGTCATTCCAAAAGTTTTAAATCAAGTCAAAATGCACCTTGGGGCAAAATTCCCTTTCATCTGTGCATCTAGAATACAAGTAACCTGCTTCCAAAGTACAATGTTAGAGCAGGCACAAAGTAGACGTTTCCATTATAAATAGGAGAAATTGGAGAGAAAGAAGGGATAACAGCAAGTCAAAAAACCCAGCTGCACAATTTACATTAGCTCTCAAGTCTTAAAAATAATCCTCTGTTCTTTGAGACCATTTAGGCAATGCCCTGCCCTCCAGACTCTGGGTATTGGCCATTGTGGTAGTTAAGTGTGTGTGTCAACTTGGCTGTGCCTGGTTGAGTGGCTGGGCAGCTGAATGTAGTTATTCCCCATGGTGAGATTGGTAATTAACTCCATGGTGGAATCTATTGGAGCAGCTGAGTAATTGCTTTGGGTATGTGGTATACTTCCTGTATATAAGAAACAGCTTTGGGAATGGTCTCCAGCTTATGGTATGCTTGAACCCTGCATGTAGCTGTATCATTGTTCAGCAGCCTGCCATGCTCTGCCGGCCTTGGGACTAACAATGGACTTGAATTAATGGCCTGCTGTGTGGTTTGGTAACATCAGGACTGTGCCCCTTTACTTGTCAACCTTGGGCTTGTCAGTCTCAGCAGTCAGCAGCTTCTGAGTGAAGTAAAGCCTCTAGTTTCAATGGGCCAGGAGCAGGAGGCAGAGTTGAAGCCCAAGGTTGAGGGGCTTTCACCCAGCCCCTAGAGCCTGACACTTTGTATTTGGACTTAAAGCCTCCAAACTGTAAAAGAATAAACTCCTGTTTGTTAAAGCCATCCTATTCATGGTATATTCCTGTCAGAGCGGCACTAGGTAACCAAAACAGCCATGCTCTCTGGATTCTGGGTGAAGACTTGACCTTGGGTTTCAGCTCTACTATCCAGACTCACTGAAATGGCAACTCTACTCCCTTGGCTTTGGGTGGCTCAATTCTCCTAGACCATCTGAGTGAAGACCTCACCCCCTTGGCCTGACAAGCCCCATTCTTCTGCCCCTTGGGCATGGCAGTCCCACCCCTTCAGTGTTGGATTACGGATATGGCCCCATCCCACTGGCACTCAAGTACGGCAGCCCCACACTCCAGAATGAAATTGGTGAACATCTGACTCTTTGATGCTGGGGTGGTTCCATCCTTTGAAACCCCAGAGGCTTTGGTCCTACACTTGGAGAATGGGGCAGCTCTGCTTCCCATCTTCCTTGTCTCTTCAGCTCCTACTTTCTTTTTCCTTGTTCTCTCAAAGAGGCCAGCCTGGCCTCTGCCTGGTTCCGATAAGTATTACAAAGCTCTTCAGTTCTACCAACTAGTGCCCAAAGGCAACCCACTCTGCCAGGAAGCTTCCTGCCCAAAAGTACTCAGCTCTCTTGCTCCATGGGCCAGGAAGCCTGCAGCAATGTTTCATGCTGGTCTTTTGGTTCTGTTAGTTCTGGTACCTCTGCTGCTGCCATTTCCCTGCCATGTCTCTGCCATCTCTGATGTTACAACTCTCCTCACTTCCTTCTGAGCTGACACCAGAATTGCCTTTTACATCCATAATGGCACCAAGAGTCTCTTCAATGCAATTTAAACCTTTACTATTTGTTGTTGTTATTAGGTGCCATCAACTCATCTCCGACTCATAGCGACCCTACGCACAGCAGAACAAACACTGCCTGATCCTGTGCCAGCCTCACAATCCTTGCTATACCTGAGCCCATCATTGCAGCTACTGTGTCAATCTATCTCCTTGAGGGCCTTCCCCTTTTTTGTTGACCCTCCACTTTACTAAGCATGATATCCTTCTCCAGGAAATGGTCCCTTCTGACAAGACCAAAGTAGGTGAGATGAAGTCTGGCCATTCTTGCTTCCAGGGAGCATTCTGGCTGTGCTTCTTCCAGAGCAGATTTGTTAGTCCTTTTACCAGACCATGGGTCTCTCAGCATTCTTCTCCAACACAACTCAAAAGCATCAACTTTTCTTTGGTCTTCCTTATTCATTGTTCAGCTCTCACATGCACAGGAGGCGACCAAAAATACCACAGCTTGGGTTAGGTCTTGAAGGAGACATCTTTGCTCTTCATTACTTGAAAGGTCTTTTGCAGCAGATTGGGCCAATGCAATACGTCGTCTGATATCTTAACTGCTGCTTCCATTGGTGTTGATTGTAGAACCAAGTAAAATGAAGTTCTTGACAACTTCAATCTTTTCTCCATTTATTGTGAAGCTGTTTATTGGAACAGTTGTGAGGATTTTTGTTTTCTTTATATTGAGGTGTAATCCATACTGCACACTGTAGTCTTCAATCTTCATCAGTAAGTACTTCAAGTCATTCTCACTTTCAGCAAGCAAAGTTGTAGTATCATCTGCATATCGCAGGTTGTTTATGAGTCGTCCTCCAATCCTGATGCCACATTCTTCATATAATCCAGCTTTTCAGATTATTTGCTCAGCATACAAATTGAATACGAATGGTGAAAGGATACAATGTTGATGCACCTCCTTCTTGATTTTAAACCATGCAGTATCCCCTTGTTTTGCTCGAATGACAGCCTCTTGATCTATGTACAGGTTACTCATGAGTACAATCAAGTTGTTCTGGAATTCCCATTCCTCTCAATGATATCCACAATTTGTTATGATCCATACAATCAAATGCTTTTGCATAGTCAACAAAACATAAGTAAACATCTTTCTGGTATTCTTTGCTTGCAGCCAAGATCCATCTGACATCAGCAATAATATTCCTCATTCCATGTCCTCTTCTGACTCCCGCTTGCATTTCTGGAAGCTCTCTGTCAATATATTGCTGCAACTGTTTTTGAATTATCTTCAGTAAAATTTTACTTGCATATGATATTAATGATATTGTTTGATAACTTCCACATTCTGTGGAATCACCTTTCTTTGGAATGGGTACAAATATGGATTTCTTCCAGTTAGTTGGCCAGGTAGCTGTCTTCCAAATCTCTTGGCATAGCTGAGTGAATGCCTCCAGTGGGGCATCCATTTGTTCAATCATCTCGATGGGTATTCCACCAATTCCTGGGGCCTTGTTTTTTGCCAATTCCTTCAGTGCAGCTTTGACGTCTTCCTTTAATATCATATGATCATATGCCACCTCCTGAAATGGATGGACACTGACCAATTCTTTTTGGTACAGCGATTCTGTGTATTCCATCTTCCATCTTCTTTTGATGTTTCCTGTATCATTCAATATTTTACCCTTACAATCT